GATTTCCTATGATTTTTTTGGTAATGTTCAGATTTTTGTCTTTTATAAGTAACTTAGAATTTCTCATTTTAAATGAATGGTAACTTTTTAAAATCTCACTTTGTATTAGCATTTTAAAAGAAGTTTTCCAGAATTGTATAATCCTTAATCTCTACAAAGTTTTTCTCTATCATCTGTTTTAGTGCTCCCTTTCCAAGCACAAAATATAATGCCTATCAATGATAGATGTGCAAAAAATAGTGAATGGAAAGCCAAAAGGCAATCATAAAACTTTCCTTGCAGAAATTTATTCTGTGGTCCTTGAATTTCTTAAATATATGTCCTTAGTTTTGAGACAGCAATTTATTTTGAGAAAGCAGACATATTTTAATCCTTACCTAGAATGATTGTGTTAGATATTGCGTTCATTTAAATATTATAAAACCCTACTTGGCTTGGCTTTTAAATATAGGTAATATGTTTTTGTCATCATTTGTCATCTTAATTACTTTTTCTGATTATTTTTATGGATAACTACTGTTTATGATTGTTTCAGAAAAAGATAAAATAATTTTATTTTAGACTGTACAATATTTATTATATTACTGTATTTGGTACTGGCTACTGATTGGGTAAAAAAAGGGTAAAGTGATCTTAGCAGACACCTATATGGTTTCTTTAGGAACAGCACAACAAATAGCAATTCTGTAGCATTATTCAAAACAGTACTTTCACATTAGATCACCCAACCTTCAGTCTACTTTGAAGATAAAGGTGTTACCATCTGCTACAATGAAAAAAATACAGCAAAAATGATTGAGTATGGAAATTTGTAAGTATTTATTTAATATCTTCCCTTTATACAGAGAAGAAGGCTCGTGTTCAAATGATTTATTCTTGAGCTGACCAGTATCAAAAATTGGTATTAAAAATCTGATTTTTCATTTAATTTTGGAGTATAGCAGAAGACTCTAGTTATCCCAAGAATCCACAGCCCCAAGGAAGTTACCTTTATGTTGTGTATTTTGGAGTCAGTTTATTCTCTATATTTTACAGTTGCTTTATTTTTCAGATATTTATGGCTAAAGGTCAATTTTTATTCTTTTTAAATAATCTTAGTATTATAATATAGAGTATCTTAGGAAAATCTCATGGCCCATAGCAGTACTACTTTCCAAGATAATGAATTTTTGGAAAGTAATTTAAAGACAAGAGTATAAAAGCTCAGGTTTCCTCAATATTTAATATAAAATATTTAATTTAATGAAGGCTTAAGAACATTGGTACTTTTGATACCAAGTTTTTGGTCTTGTCTGAGAGATTAAGAGAAAAATATCAGGCATATCCTTTATTGAATAAGTGCTGTCATGAATAGGGGAGGATAGTATATAGCAAATGAAAAGTGTTAGGCTGAAGGTACTCTATGGGCAAAGTAGAACAGTATCTTTGAGTGGCCTGTCTCAGAAACCTGAAAAAAGGCAGGTGCTAAGCATCCTTAGAGCCAAAATGAAGAACATGATACCTCTGAATAGGTGAGGAACACTCTCCTCAGAACCTGGAATCAAAAGAAGCACTAAGAAAAGACTTATTTAACATATGAAGAAACTCACTGGAATCCATATAGAAGACTGCCCTCAGGAAGATGAAAAGTTCCTCTCTGAGGGAACACTCCTACATAATGATAGGAGGTGTTCAAGGGCGATGGGAGTGAGAATAGTCTACCTTATTGGGGTCCAGGAAGATTTACATGAAGAATAAAGCTTGGGGTGGGGGGGTAGCCACAAGTGTTAGAACTAGGATAACCAGGAGAAGGTTTCTAATCATGTCCATGTAGCTGCTAAAAAATGGAAAGAGTGTTTTAGAAGAGAGAAGAGATTGTCTCATTACCAAAACCAGCCGCTTGGTGGAAATGTTAAAAGGAGTCAGGGATTCACATTCATGTGGAGATTTAACTGTTTGCAAGGTACCATTAGATTCTCATGATCCTACAAGGGAGACCAAAATATTTATGAAAATTAGAAAATAAAACATTGTGTTGGATTGATAAATATTTAGATATAACATTTTATTGAAAGAACATTGAGCATCTCACAGTACCAGGAAAAACAAAAAAGGCTACAAAATCAAGCTTGAAATAGCCATGCACAGGATAAGCCACGTAGCTGTAAGTACCACAGCCAAGGTCAAACAGAAGAGCAAAACAGTGAGGGCACCCTGCTACTGACCACACTAACACACCGGCACTGGGCACCAGCTCTGTCTCTGAAAACTGCAGCAGGATCCCCCCACCCTCTATTCCACCAGAAAGAACTCTGGTTCCTCATAGTTTCCATTTGTGACAGCCTCAGTTCCAAGCTCAAGACTGAGCACCTGATCAGCACAGTTTATGAATGCCCACACTTTAGTTGTAAGGTATGTGGGGACATAAGAATCTGGTGATTTTAATTTCTGTTGTAGGAAATGAGCTCTGCTTTCCACCAAGCCATAAAGTAGGGAGCCCCCAGGTGACAGCATTCACTAACAGGTCTTTCCAGAGTTTCCTGTACAGGATGGTAACAGGCGTTATCACAAAAAAAGTAAATACTTCTTTTCTAATCATATCTCTGCAAGATTCCTCAGCACTTTCAGCATGTCATTATGCAGTGTGCTTCTCCAAAAGGAAAATACAGTGTGCCACATTTGCCAGTGTGTTTGAACAAGCTGCTTTTATCATAGTAACTTATGGGAGGAGTGTTCTATAAAATACACCCTGAGAACACTGTATTAGGGAAACGTAAAAAGATAGAGGGCATGCAGGGCAGTGCAATAAGATGCCCAGATGTAATAAGAGATGAGAACGTTTAACAAGGTAGGTGAGAACCGGAGTGGCTGGAAGTCTGCCATCAAGTTCTTGTTTGAGTCACAGGACACTGAGTAGGGTAAGACTTGAAAGTGCTAATTAGTCTGCACCACTACCTTCATAGGAGGCTCTGAATATGAACATAGAGGATTGGGAGAGGGCACCCAAAAAGCAAAACCTCACAAAAAGGTTTAATTGGTTATGATTTCAAAGTAGGGATATAGATTTAAAACGAGAAAGAGATACATATCTCAAAGGAACACTGTGTATCATCCTGTCCAGAGGTTGCAATTTAATGGCTTGGGATCAAATCCAAGGAAGAATGGTCTCTACATTTTTAAATGACTCAGAAAAATGAAAAGGATAACATTTCATGACACATGAAAATTATATGAAATTCAGTTTTCGGTGTTCATGAATAAATTCCATTCTTCTCATCAGTAGACCTGCATTACAAACAGTTATACTCAAATGTCATTATATTTTTAATTTCATCACTTAAAAATGTATGGAATTTTTTACCTCTTGTTATATAAGTATACACTATTTTCAGATGTGTGAAGATGGGGTGGAAGCTGGGAGAGACAAGGCAGTATCCATCCCTTTCTGAGTGCCAAAAAGTCTTTGGATTATGTAGATTATGTTGGCATCATTGTGAGGGAGAAGCACAAAGTGAATTTACTCAAATGTTATAGACCACTCCAATTTGCATCCCAGTCTTTCAACTTCCACACTTGTACATTTATTCCTTTTAGGAACTCAAAGCCTTCTAGTCATAAAGTAAATAATGTAGAAATTCCCTCTGAAGATCATCAGTGTGACAGTGCTACTTATTGTTTTGGCATCACTACATAAATGGGATTATACAGCCTTGTTTCTTGAAATGATTGATTCCATGGGTTTAGTTACTGTGTCCTGAAATAATGTGTATCACTGCCCAGGGAAAGATTGTGAAAAGAAATCTAACACTGAGGAGGATTCTAAAGTAAGGTTTCACCCAGTCTTTGGAACACAGTGGGGTATTCAACTGTCAGTGTCAGCCACAGATATAGAAAGAGAACAATAGTATAGGAAGAGACCATGTCCTGGAGTCTCCCATCCATTTTGAAGATATTTGATTGCCAGAGATATAGAGTGGTAATATAGCCATTAGTTTTTCTATTTTTTTATTTTATAGTTCATTCTACATTTTATTATATATTATAGTTTATTCTATAAAATATCTACTTACGAAGTTTATCATCTCTCTAATAGCCTGTAAATTTTTCCCTTGGTTTTTGAGAAAAACCAATGGTTAACCCAGTGTGACATTTCCTCTCCAGATCAGTCTAAGAGAAAGGGCACACTAAATGAATTAGATATAAATTAATGTTGTGACACATTTTTATAGAATTTATTGTCAAGCAAAACGTGTTTTGTGTTTCTGTAAACTTCAAGGAAAGCTTTTTAACAGTTGTAAATAGATTTACTCATGTTAAAATTACTGAGTTGAAAAAAGAATCTTGAGTTTCTTAATAAAGTTCTCCATGCTTCATTAGGAAAATTTAATTTGAGGTGGTAAGGGCCTGGATCTTAGCTGGGCACTGGCATGCAGAGAAAACCTTGGCAGTGGGAGGGAATCCCACCAACCACAGCCTGTGAGCACTTCCAGAAGCAATGTTGGAGGGACCGTGGAGCCTCTGGGGCTCCCCAGTGGAGACCAGCTGCAAAGTGCCCTCCACTGCCAAGTGAAATCCTGTGCATCGGCTGCAGGATGAGAAGTCCGCTGAAATCACAGATTTGGAGATTTGAAAGAGAATTGGTGGGAACACAGTAGCACAGATACTAGATGGGAGAGTAAGGGCAGTGGTTTGCGGGTAATGAGCCAGTAGAAAATCAACCCAGTTAAGCCACTGCTAGCAATCTGGAGTTGATGAAGAAGGGGAGTGTGGGATTCCCTGATGCAGCTTGGGTTAGAGAAGTCTCCTTCATACCACCCATTCCAGACTCACTCATTCTTTGTGTAATTGTTTAATATTTCTTGCTCCCATTAGACCAGCATTACTCAACTGAGGGGTGGGAAGGATTTACTCCATCAAGGGATATTTGTCTTGAGACATCTTCCTTTGTTTCAGCCAGGGCGGAGTGTGGTGCTGGTGAGTGTGTAGGGGCCAGGGATGTTGCTTAACACTCTACAATGCATAGGATGGCCCCATGGAGAAGGAATTATCCCACCCAAGTGTGAACAGTGGCAAGGCTGAGATGTTTATGGCCACCTGCCTTAGATAAAAGCTCATGTGTTTATTTGAAACCCAGACCCTGGAACATGGTAAATTAGTGCTCTACCACTGAGCTACACCCCAGTCCCTAAATCAAAGTTCATAAAGGCTATCTGTCATGCTCAACACTGTCCCCAGCACCTGTCTGTTAGCCTGGCACATAAAGAGGCTTTTAGCACATCTTTATTGGATGCATATGAGCCAGGCCTTCCCTGTTTCCTGTGGATTTGCCTAAGTCATTGCTTAGGCACCACCATACACTTGGGTGTACTTCACAGGCAGGACTTTTCACTCCACATGTACAACACTGACCCTACCTCTGAACTGCAAGTTCTCTGATCAGAAAGAGTGGCTTTTAAAGGCATTGCATTTCTTCTGTCTCTCTCATCTCTCTACCTTATCTCTCTCAACACTGAAGTCTACGTATGTATACAGGTATACATCTGCTCTTAAGAAAAAATGAAATAAGTGTGTAGATATTTTTCTTATGCTTATACCTAGTATTGTGGTATATTGTGATAATCTGTGTTGAATGTTGGTCTCAACAACAGTGATCTTTATTTTCAAAGATTTATTTTCAAAGACATCCAGCACTGAATGTGTGTGGTGGTGATATTGGGGAGGGGTATTCTAAAATAGCAAGCATTTTTTAAAATAATTTGACCAGTTTATATGAAGAGTATTTGTCCTTTTGAGAAGAGAGAGTTCTGGGTGGTCTTAGCTCCTTCTCCAGCAGAGCTGGCACAGTGGCTCTGTCTTGGCCCATCACAGGATGCAGGCTGAGCCCAGATGGCCTTCTATCCCTGTTTCTAACAAAGCTGTTTCCTGAATTGAGGGTCCTATACAGTGTACTATGCCATGGGGTCATAGGTTCCTCTTGTCACCAGCCAACACATGGAATACTATAGGTGAGGTGTGATCACTTCTCAGCCTTGTGGCAAAGATCAAGTGTAGTATAGGTGAGGTGGACCACCAGAAATGCTTGGTTCAAACCCACCCTGCCTGGAGTGATGAGCTGAAAGGAAGGGTGTATGTTCAACTTCTTTGGAGGTTGCCACAGTGAACCTGTGGCATACGTGCACCATAACTTCCCTAGAAACTCACCTAGAGCCTGCCCGTCACATAGGGGAGCAGTCCAGTGGAGCAGGTTATTTATTGTATTTAAGTTACCTCTCTGACATGAATTATTTAACTGAAACCATGCCAGAGCCCAGGAAGAAGGCTAAATACACAAGTAGTGGCTTTGTTAGAAACAGGTGAAAGTGAAAGGGCCCTCAGGCTCTGCTGGCATCCTCTGATGGGCTAACACAGAGCCACTGTGCCAGCTCTGTTGGGGGAGGTGAGTGTATGTAGAGGGGACAAAAATGTACCTGTATATATCATATCTTTTTGTCTGTGTTTCTGTAGACTTCTTTTAAAAACAGAATCCAGGGCTGGGGATTTAGCTCAGCGGTGCTGCGCCTGCCTCGCAAACACAAGGTCCTGAGTTTGATCCCCAGTACCAGAAAAAATAATCAGAATCCAGCTTCAGTTTATACTAAGATAAACAGTATATGGGAGGAAGACTTGTGCCTGTTTTTAGGATGTTTTTAAGGATGTTGCTCATTGCATACACAGTAAACTCTTTCTGAGGACTCTTGAGAGTAATTTACTTATGATCCAGAATAATAATGATTCTCCTGAGTTACTGTGTTGTTGTTTTCTTTTAATCTTGAGACTGAAAATTGCTTGTTAGAATGCCCAGAGCCAAATTTTCAAGCAATGTTTCAGATGTTCATAAGAGCATCATCCTGTATCCCTGGGATACTCTTATCCTTACTTTACGTCAAGTTTGTCACCATTGTTTTTATATCTTTATAATCTGCAGGTGTGTTTTTAGAGTAACAGAGCTAGGGTACATAAGCGACTGAATGTACCATTAGGGTACCTCAAACCAGTTTCACTGGCTTCTTTTCTCCCTCTCCAGATCGAGACACTTCCAGATGGGCTGTTTCAGTGCAAGAAGCTGCAGTGTTTGCTTTTGGGGAGAAATAGCCTGACTGAGCTGTCCCCTCATGTGGGTGAGCTGTCGAACCTCACTCATCTGGAGCTCATTGGGAATTACCTGGAAACGTTGCCTCCAGAGCTGGAAGGGTGTCAGGCTTTGAAACGCAGCTGTCTGATTGTGGAGGACAGTTTGCTCAGTACGCTTCCTGTCCCTGTGACTGAACGTTTGCAGACATGCTTAGATAAATGTTGACCTAAAGATCAGAGAACCATGTCTCAAGAGCGTTTTTGAAATTATGTCCCAGGGCTTTAAAGGAGAAGTAATTTCTTAAGTTATAAAAATGAAAAATGGGTGATGATTATTATCTACCAAATATCTTACTAAAGCAATTCAGTGTCTATCCTGAAGTTAAATAGGTAAACGTGTTAAAACTGAACTAGAATCTTGTAACTGATCTTTAATTTATTAAGATATTATAAGAAGTATACATTGAAGGTGGATTGAGAGGCATGAAATTATTAAATCTTTACCTTGCAATTTTTACCCTTAAGATTTTAAGTTTCTTTTGTTCTTTCTCCCCTAGTCCCTCTTACTTATTTGCACACTTGCTTTTACTGACTTCCTGTTTTGATATTTATCACTGAGATCACAACTCATCAGTATAAATTTCCTTATGTATGCTCTGTGATTTATGTTCTTACATGTTTTTAGGCAGGGTGTATCATGCTTGGCAGAATTCCTTTTGGCTTAATTTTTAATTCCCTTCCCGGCTTGCTTGAGTCTCCCTTAATCTGGTTTTCTTTGAACAGCAATGAGGAACCCTGAGAAAATGCCTACCTTTGGCCTTTTCTTGGACAGGGTAATTAAGATTTGTCATTTTGGGGGCATTCTAAAAATCAGTGTATTCTCAAAATTTTCTTCTTGTCTATTATCATCAAAGCCTTTTTTATCTGTTAAGAATTTTTATATGAACTATAAAACAAATATTTTCTACTGTGTGATCTTGAATTCTACATCTGTGAAAATAATTTTTGTAAGATTCAGAGAACCTCACATTTCTTTAAGAACTTACGATACTTGGTTTGGTCTGTTTATGATTCTCTTGTTTGTGTGCATTCTGCACCAAAATGTTTTTGTACTCTGCAACTGATTACTTTTGGATAATAAAAGGCATATGCTTTATGCCCTATAATATTTGGGGGTTTCCTTGTGAGAGAATGGCCGCATTGTCTCCCCCTTCTTCCTGCTGCTGTGCAATCGTATGAGTACAATTTTTTTTTTTTTTTTTTTGTGAAACGGTCTCACTATGTATTTCAGACTGGCCTTGAACTCACTGTGTAGCCAGGCTGCTCAGACTCGTGGGGATCCTGCTACCTCAGCCTCCCAAGTGTTGAGATTTCAAGCATGCACCACCACACTCAGCCTGCAATTCTTAATTACTTACAAAACCTGTGATGGAGAGGAGAGCGACAGATTTGGATTTTAGAATTAATTTTAAAATACTTTGTAGAAATTTAATGTTAAAGCAAAATGCATTTTTCCCTCCATCTGCATTATCTCAAGATATAATATAGAACACTCAGCATCTATTCAGTATCTAAGATGAGCTTTCAGAGCTCACATAAAAATGAATCCACTGAACTGAAATTCATCTCATGCCTTTAATTCTCCTGGAATACATTTTGCTTCTCTTCATAAAGAGCTTTGTGTTTGGCCTTTTATCATCATGCACATTGTTAAATGAATAAAACTGACACACTCACTTTTGGGAAATGTGCATTTTTAGTGTGTTTTTCTCTAATGGGTCTAGGCCTTATGATGCCACCTCATTTTGGATGTAACTATAAAGTAATCTATTAACTGCACCTGCACAAAACTGGAAAACATTATGGGTAAAGAGCACTGTAAACATGGAACTGTGGTGTGTGGTATATGTTTTCTCTTGCTTTGTTCCAGGAAGATGAAAGTAAGTGTTTAGAGCAGTGGTAGTGAGCCTATGGCACGCATGCCACAGCTGGCTATCATCATTGAAAGCTCTAACAGGTTCGCCATCACTGGAGAGTATGGGAAATGTAGCTTCTCTCACCTGGCACACATCCCTGGACTGAAGTTCAGAGAAAAGTTATTCACATCAAATGAAATTTGAGTACTAGCTACAAAGAATATAGAACACCAAAAGTTGCCTAACCCATTATTGTGTATTCTGAATGGGAAAGAATGGTATAAAAATTTGCTTCTTACCAAAACTTGCCTTTAATCAGAACATTTACATTCTCAGGGACCCAGGGATAACTGATGTAGCTCTCTTTCAGGACTTCACAAAACAGATTCTGACTCTATCCAGGGTTTTATTATTCTCATTTTCTAAAGTGTGAGTTGATAGTTACTTTAGTGCTTCTTATGGTAGGGCCATCATGTGTACTGATTCCAATGTCTGGATTCTTTTAAGTTTTGGACATGAGTGTAAAACATGGAGAGATGTTTAAATGTTTTTGGCCACATAATTACACATAACATGTATGAGAAACCCTACCTTCTTCTACAGGAAGAATTTTCAAAACAAAATTCAGATTTGCTACCATTCACCAAACAAACTAGAACTTCTCCATGGCTAAGCACTGGTTCTATTCAAGTGCAGATAAATCTTATCACCCATGAAAATTCACGGAGCAATTTGCTAACAAGATGAATAATGAATATGTAAGCTGCTTCTCACACACTAGGGTGCAAACTGTGTTGCTTTTGATGCCACAGCTTTTCAGTGTCTTTGTTATTGAAATCCTGTACACCCATGTTTATGTAGGTTTTGACACAACCCAGCACTGATGCAATGAACAGAGATACTATTGTCTGATGTACAAAAATGTGGTGTCGATAGCGCATTTACTACTACTGTTGGAACAGATCTTTATTTTAAAGGTGTTCATATTCACTTAAAATAATTTTACATTAAGAAAATGAAGTTTGCTAAATTATAATCATGCATTTGAGTTCCAAGAATGTATTTTCCAAAAACTTAATGTAGAAGATTAAAAAACAAAGTTTATGGCTTATGCAGGGAGTGGCATTGGTTTATTTCATTTGCACACACACACAGACACACATATTCCATGTATGAAAACTGTAACATCAGTTTCCTATATTTAGTATTTTTCCAAAATGGCAGGAGGTCATAGGGTAAAATTAAGGATACCAATCTTTCTAAATTCATTACTTATAATCATGGTGTATTCTATCCCCTTATAAGAAATCAAATACTAGGGGGCCAGGGATTTAGCTCAGTGGTTCCGCTGCCTGCCTTGCAAGCGCAAGGACCAGGGTTCGATCCCTGGTACCAAAAAAAAAGAAATCAAATACTCAACCTTAGTTTGAGAGTGTAAGTGTTTTTGAGCATTCCTGAAAAGTTGTAGCATTCTTTCCCTAATATACATCAGGGTACATCTGTGTGGAACAGAGGTACTGTATTTTCATTTTTCACCCTCAGTCCTAACTTTTTTCCCCTGCATGTCACCACAGTTCACCATCACTCAACATTTATGTTATGTAAAGCAGAGTGAATGAGATCTTCGGCATCTCAGTGTTGTGGCAGAGCTCTGACAGGCGTATTGTGGTGTGCAACAGTGATTTTTCTGCATAACCTTATTTCCTAATGAAATATTTGTTTTTCAAGTGTTTCATGATTCAAACTATATATGGTTAATTAAAACATTGCATAATGTTGATGGGTTTATTAAAATAATCAATTTTATTCTGTGGACTTGACAGTATTTCCTTGTGTATTTCAATAAAATTGTCTTTCCGCCTTTATGTTCTCTTAGCACTGTCTTATGTACATGAGGTATTTTATTTTCCTTCTACACTCACACACCCCATTAAATTTGGTCAGTGCTTGTATAGTAACAGAATATATTTGTGCTGGAAGATTTGCAGTGGCACCTGAATGTGTGTTTATTTGTGAGGAAGCCAGCCCTATAACTATGCCTGAGAAATTCTACTTTATCCATCCGTTCAGTATTTTGAAGTTATCCTATGCTCCTTCATTTCCACCAGAAGCATAAGAATATAGCTGTAAGTCCAGTTTGTTTTCATTAACTGTACATTGCATCAAAATGTCTTTCTCTCTGGAAACAAGAGAAAGACTGGTGGGAGGGGGAAGGAGTTATTTTGCATCCTGATTTATATTCTGAAGATATGTATGTGAAATGGTATAAATCAATAATGTTGCAAAATGCCCCGGATACCATTAGTTTTTATCTTCAGCTGGAAGTTAAATGCTAAAGCAGTTAAAAAGTTTCAGTCTTAGCCAGGTGTGGTGACGCAACACCTGTAATCCCAGCACTTGGGAGGCTGAGGCAGGAGGATCACCGAAAGTTCAAGCGCAGCCCAGGCTACAAACTGAGTTCACGGCCAGCCTGAACTACGTAGTGAGATCTTGTCTCAAAAAAAAAAAAAAAAAGAAAGAAAGAAAACCTTTGGTCTTATTTAATTGGTTTCTCATTGCTTCTATATCCAGTGGGAACTATCTCCTAAGTACTTTTGGTAATGGACTACATTTTTTCAGTTTTTTTGTATGAACGATTTAATCAACACTAAAGCATTAACACAAATATATAAGCCAAAGTACTGAGCTGAGATGGCCTCCTGTTGAACTTTATTTCATATTTAAATTTTGCATTTAACTACACTCTTGCAGAGAAAACAATTATGAATGCTATCTGCATGTTTTACATTATCTCTTAACAGAGATGGTGCAATTTTAAAAATACAAAGGGATGTAGAGTTAGAATGGATTTGTTTGTGCACCTGTATGTTGTGCATCAGCCTAAATATTAACATCGTACAAGAAGATTTTTTAAATTCTTGAAATATTTTGCTCTTAGTGACATAACAGACTAGTCGAGTAGGCATTTTCTTTTGTTAGTTCACAGTAAAGAATAGCATTTGTTATTTTATCTTTGTCACAGATTTAGAAATTTGTTTAATTGGTTTTGATTCTGATAATAAATTATTAGAAAATGTAAGATTTTGTTCAATATATTTGGCCCTGGGTTTTAAATTTCTACTGAATCCCTCAGATCCAGTAGATTTTGGTAAATTTTACTGTTTTTAAGGTGTTTTTTGTGTAAAAATAAAGGTTCAATTGTTATAATAAATGGCAAATAAAAACATTAAATTCTGGAAGATGTTGCCTGTACTCATTTTCACCTGTGTTCACTTACCAGGGCTCAGGTTCCCAAAGTGACTCCTTCCTCCTCATGCCTCCCTTAAGGCCGTGCCATTATTTGCCTAGTGGTAGAGTTCAGATTTACATGTGGATCTCATAACGATGAGTTTTCAAAATATGTCACAGTGGCCACAAAATGGGGAGCACCTGAAAAGGAGGTGGTTTAATCCTGGAGTATGGAGGGGGCAGGCAGAAGAGTCTGTCACTTTTGTGCTAGTCTCATCTTTCCAACATTGTCCTTGGAATTTTTCAGGGATAGATACTCAGAAACCAATTTTCTCCCATTGTCAGCACCTGTTCTTCCATTTAGTATTAATTTAACACTAACACTGGTAAATGAACCAGATACATAAAACCAAGTAACTAAGACAGGCACTGCTGAGAATGTTTAGTAAAGGGAGAAGAAAGTTAATTACTGGGTAAAATATGCGTATGATCCTGTGATGTTCTGAATCAAAATTTCTCAGTCTCTCATGTGAGTGTACACACATCAGGCCTACATTAGAAAGTTTTTAGGGTTTAGATCTAGAATGTCCCCCAAAAGTCTTAGGTGTTCAGAGGTGGAACTTATGGAAGATGAGGATCGCAGGGTCATGATCCTCATCAATGGCTAAATGTGCTGTCAGCAGGCAGGATCTGGTTGGCAGGGTGTGTCACTGGGGGCAAGCCTCTAGGTCACAGTACCCTTCCCTCTGCTTCGCTGCCCTGAGGTGAGCAGCTTTGCTCTCTTGCCTTCCACCATGGTGTTTCTTTCTTGGAGCCACCCATGGATGAAACTGTGAACCATGAGCCAAATTTAACCTCTTCCACTTTAAGTTGTGGGTGTCGGCTATTGTGTCCCAGTGGCAAAATGACTTAATACAACAGCTGATATCCAGAACTTTTCTGGGAGATGGAGATATATATAGTCATTCCAGTTTTCCCTGGCTATATCATTACTGAAACAGTGCTCTCCTCCACCTCAGCCATGCCTGCCTTAAGGTGTCAGCAACCTTTTAGGAAGTGCTAGGTGCATTGAGATCTAGAGCCCTAATAGTCCCCACAAACACAGTGTTACTATGATTTGATGTGCATTAGCATTTACTTCCACCTTTCACAATGGCTTTTCAAAAATGTCATGAAGGGCTTCACCATGGCAGAGAGACTGGGTGGGTGCTGTTGAGGGTGCCCTTCTCTAGAGCTGCAAATTTAGTCCTTGTTTCTGTTTCCTCCATCTCCACACCTGTTCCCACCTTGTGTTCTCTTACCCCTAGTCTCTGAAGTCTAGAGCAAAGCAGTTTACCCAAAAGTTGCAATGTCAGACCTTGAACTCAAGACTTGTATTTACATAACAGCATATAGCACATGCCAAAGAAGAGATCAGAGAGAAAAGTCATTTTAAAAATGTGCAATCTTTAAATTTCTTCACCCTTTTATCTCATCTTCCTCTAGTTAAGCCTTTCTGCTTCCTAGTTGCCAGTGTTCAATACAGCAGCCTGCCTGTTACTGAGATTTTCAAAGTATATCAATACATACCTTAAGTTATGTATGCCTTTTTACATGTTCCTATTATTCTTGGAAGTCTCAGCCCATATCATTTTTTACTCTCTACCTCCCTCTGCTGCTGAATGGAGTTTAACTCAAATAAAAGCATGGCCTGGCACCCACTAGGAAAGCACGCTACAGGTTCTTTCCTTTGCGGAAATAGCTCTTATGCTTACCTGGCCTACAGAGCCAGCAGATTCATTCTGCTTTCCATTAACACCAAACCTCCTGGCCAGCCCCATTTCCTCACTATTCATTTAACCCATTTGTCTCAGTTCTTTGCATGTCCCGCATTCTGCTCCATCCAGTAATTTCTTTTAACAGATTGTCAATTACTTATTGCCAAATACAGTGACATCTCAGTCTTCTGTTAGTAAAAATCATGGACGTTTATGTTAATTTCTTATTCCTTTCTTTAAAAGTTAAATTATACTCACAAGCCCAAGGTCCTGAGTTCAATCCCTGGTACAAAAAAAAAAAGTTAAATTCTAGCAAGAGTAGATTTTAAACATGATTGGCAGAAAGATAAACGGAGTCTTTCTCCACTTTGGGTCTGTAGACAGTTCCCACATCTCATACCATTTCTGTCAAACACCCAACTAATAACTTCTTCTAGGCCTCTTGAGCAGATCTGCCTGCTGCTGGGTATCCCTTCTTTCCTCTTTCAATCTCCTTAACCTTGCCCTCCCATCCTCTACCTTCTCTCCATCCAATATTCAATCTCTCTCTCTCTCTCTCCCTCCCCCCCCAACCCCATTTCCAAGATTATTCAATACCTAACCAGTTATCCTTGGTTTACCCTTACCCAAAATTAGTATCTTTTACCAAGATTCTCCCTGTCTAGAGGGTAGTTTGTAGCCACAGTTTCAAATTCAAAATAAGAGATTCACACAATATGCTGAACAGAAGTCCAACTCCCACGTCTTAGGCTAGTAATCTTGTTGCCTGAGTTAACTAGCCCCATATTTCAAATTATTCTAACAAGTTTTGACACCGTTTGTGGATTAATACCCACAGGCACCCATCTAAATGTAGTAATGTTTAGTTCAGTTTAACCTTTAGATCAGCTCATCGTGGAATGCAAAGGCCTTGATCCTGGCTGTGGTTAATTTTTTCTCAGCAGAAATCAGCAAGTGACCACTGTAATTGAAAAGCTGTTTCCCTCAAGAAATGCCTGACAGGGATTAAGGACTAAGTAGGGGAGTTTTCCCTCCTGGAGTTCCCAATCTGCACCACTAGGAGGGAACCAAGTGCTCCCTGTCTGAAGGGTGTTTCTTTCCCCAACTGGGTTGGGTTCAAATCTTTGTCTTGTTAGCCCTATAGTAATGCATAACGAAAGCACTTGGATCCTTTGAAAGGAAAAAAGTACAGCCATCACTTTTCCAAGTCGATCCAGCAATCCTTTGCATAGTAGGAAGACTTGCTCTGTGAAAAGGGAATGTCTAAGAAAGTAGCCAAATGAAGACCTGATTCAGTTCACATTAAGAGACCATATCAAGGCAGAATAAAGCACATCATAAACCACTTCCATGGCTTCAAATTGAGAAAAGATAAAGATCTAACCGTATAGTCCATGCTTCTTAAGCTTCAAAGCCATCGCTGTAGAAGGAATTAAAATAGTATAAAAATAACTTTATTTAGCACCTTCTATGTACCAGGCACTATACAGGCTTTTCATGTGTGCTATCTCAGTCCATCCAACAACAACTCTATTAGGTGTGCTGTTCCAAATATGCAAGTGAGGAAGTATGTGTTATATGCATATACCAACATCCCACAGTGAATGATAATTATTATGTACTGCAAACAGGTAATAAGATTAAAAAACTTTTTAAAGAGAAAGCAGTCTTGAAAATTATGATGACACCTGCACAGCCTGTTTCTAGAGATTGAGCTGAACATTTAGCATGAGAACTTTGTCCTCTCATATCCACCTTGGGTTTTTAAAAACTGGTTTTCAGAGCTCAGTGGATTCCATTCTGTTTTATGCCCATGGTCTCTTCCTGTTCCATATCTGTCCTGGTTTCTGTTTTCTGAGCCAATGAATTACTTCCTATGC